GGATGATTTAGGAGGAAGTTCTTACATCACACGAGTATTCACTTAACTGTTCTGTGGTGAAAAAAAAAAAAAAAAAAAGAAAAAGAAAAAAAAATAACAGCAGATCTAAGAGCCTTAGAAAAACTGATCCTAGAATATTTTTTCAAGGCTATATGAGATCTAATGGTAAAAGTCAAATTTTATAAGAGAGTACCTTTGGCCTATTTCAACCAAGTTGCCCATCAGACATAAATAAGTTAGCCACTATCAAAAAAGGGTGAGATGCTTAGAAAGGGAAGTGCCCAGCTGACAGAGTTTGGGGTATAATACAAAGCAACAACCCCATTAGTATTTGTAGATCTTCATGTAACTGTTATTGTGATAATTTTCTTAGTGCTTCCCAGCTTGTTAATCAATTAGATATGCATCCCTGAATCCACAGATCCTCATTTTCCTGAAAAGGCTTATGACCTTTCCGGACATAAAAGCCTGGAGGACTTAAAAACCATGTGACTGCAATGGCAGCTGGACTTTTCAGCACTAAATTCAGTAAATATTGAAAGATTCCTCTTTCTAAAACTAAAAAAGCAGAACCTAGACACCTATCCCAAGTAACTTTAATGAGGCAGATTTCAGAAAAGATCCCCCTTCTGGAAACCAGTCCCCACTGAAGTTGCTCCATCTCAGTACAGACATATGACAAGCCACTAGACACATTCAAAACACCTTGATTAACATGAGCACAGTTGCAAATTGTTGAAACACCTCCCTCAGCCAACTGGCACAACCAAGTGACAGCAGCAGTGAAAGATACAGAGCTTAGTTATTTGTTCTTGAGGCTGGCAATAGGACAGAAGGAGCTGGGAAGAGCAACACTGGGACCTGGATCAGGAACTGTCTTTGGGCGCAGTGTGACTCTTCTCCCACACATCCAAACTTGTCTTTGGACAATGAAAAGCATTTATGAGTAGGCTTTTCTCTCCAGCACAGAAGATTTTACTCTTTGATACTATTGTTTTGTATTATGGTAGTATTTAGAAGGAAGGTTTCCTTCTCCTTTAAAATAAAGAAAGGATCTCTTAGTGAACGAGAAAATCTTGTTCTTGCATTGGGATGCTCGCAGAAAAAATGGCATATCTGTGAAAAACATACTGTATGATGCAATTTCAAATTGAATGCAGTAAGACTGATCATAGGAGAACATGAAGATGGGAGGAAGCAGAGAGTAGTAAGAAAATGTAACTATTAAGACAATTGAATCTCATTTGATTTCTAGCATCTAATGTTTTTCTGGATTGTAACTAGATAAATGCATACCACATATCTTCAGCACCTGTCTACTAACCCTTTTTAATTGGCAGTTCTTTTTCACAGAGATTGGGACAAGTCTAAACAAAGGATTTGAAAAACAGTGAAACAGGCCATTTGAATATTGCAGGGAGAAAATTCCTCTTGCATACCCTATAGAGGCCACAAAACACCTAACAGGTGTATACAGGAATTCTTGTTGATATTAATCTTGAAAATGAGGAAGTAATTTTTTCTTTTGTTTTTGGGCAAATGAAGAGAAAAAGAAATAATTTCTTTAAGAATATAAAAAAATTTTAATTTCTCAAAGCAATACAGCACATTGCAGGCAGAAGCACAACCTAGAAATCCCATCCGAAAGCCAGTGATTTTGATATTTGACAGACTTCTCTCCCAACGAAAGATTCTGAGCAAGATTGTAGAATTTAGTAAGAGAACATTCTCAAGAGTCCATTAGCAAGAGAAAACGGGAGGAGAAAAACAATCTTAGGATTCATGAGAAAAACTGAGTGCTTTATTGAGGTATATACTTGTGTCAGAATGGAAACTGCACAACTACATCTGCACAGTCAAATGGGCAGAGCATTTCCAGTGCAGAAAGGGAGCTTCTCAAAGGCATTTTTGTAACAAGAAGCTGTGCAAGCTGCCTCAGAGTCCAGAGACAGCTATCTGTCACAAGGAGAAGAAGAATAACTATAAGTAATCTCTTAAACATAATAATACTAAGAATCATGTTAATTAACAATATGAACACTCATGAGACTGGGCCTTTTTTATTGCCTCAAAGCTAGAACTGGCCTGTTATGCAGCAAGAACTGTCATTGGGATTACAGGCAGCAAATAACTGACAGAATCAGGCTCCAGGCTTGCTTTTTCATCTTTTCCATGCAGTTTTACACTAATTTAATGTAGTTTACATTTTCTTTTCACTCTCCAGTATGACGCTGTAGATAACTGCACAGTTCCACACACAGTCTGAACTGTCATATGCTATAAAAGAGAATATTCTCTTTTTCTCATGCAACTAGATGGTCAAAATGTAGCATTTTTGAAACTGGACAAAATAAAAAACTTGTATTTAATGTGTATAGCAAAAGACATCTCCTGTGGAGGTTATTATCTAACATCCTATTTAATATAACAATGGTACTGGTCCTGCTGCTGAGTAGATCATTATTCTGGTTTGCCGTATTTCAGGGTAGCCCCTTATTCAAAATAACAACCTTGTGTCCCTTCATGATTGTTTTGAACAAATGTTATTATCCAGAAAAGGTGTTTCTTCTCAATTACCAAAATGGTAAGGATGTTTAAAACAATCAAGTAGTCAAATGCCTCTGTCCATGGTAGCATTTTTAAAAATGCCTATAATCAAGAGATGATGATACAGTAACTTAGAAATCAGAAAATAATTTAAAAACCCAAAGGGATACATACTAAATTTCAGAATTATTCAATATATATGCATAAAATGCTGCTTATTCTCTTAGGAAGTTGATGGGACCTCCTCCAGAGACTTTGGATAGTCTTTGGCTTGTATTCCTACCTGCAAACAGGGACACAGGACAGATATCCCTTCAGGCCCAAGAGGGCTGCAGTCTTTGGCATGAGTTCCAGTGCCTTGTCACTTCCATTCATGGGCAAAAAGTCAATGTTTTAGAGGATGATATGTTTGTTTAAAAAGAAATAAAGTCCATCATAAACAAAACAAAACAAAGCAAAAAAAAAAAAAAAAAAAAAAAAAGCCATCATGAAACATTCTAAAACCTTTCAGATTCAGGAAATCTTTCCGAATATAAAGATTGCCTATTTGGATCATATTCCTGATAACCTCTGCTTCTTTTCCTCTTCCAGGAAAAAATTTGATCCCTCAACCTTTATTCATATGAAAGTAACATTTGCAAATGTGCACTGAAGTCAAGCCAAGCCAGCTCTTATGGATCAGATGGTAGCCCCTTGTTCATATTGCAAAACAGTTACACAAGTCTTTCAGATGACAAAAATGAGCCAGTTTACATAACTGCTCATCAGCATGAAAAATGATAGTAATAAGGCCGTAAATTGGAACAGTGAGGAGACTTGCTACCATTGGCCAATTTTGTCAGTATTTTCAATTGAAAGTACAGCAAAATAAAATATTTGGCTTCATGAAAGCTGAAATTGATGTTGATGAATTATTGTCAGAGTGAGTAGATGCAATTTAATGCTACTTAGTATATTGTAGGAAATATTTATTTTCTATCTGTCCTTTTTTTTGTTAGGGCTCTTGCTTTGTTTTTGGTGGGGTTTTTTTTTGTTTTTTTTTTGGGGTTTTTTTTTGGTTGGTTTTGTTTCTTTGTTTGGTTGGTTTTTTTGGTTTTTTGTTGTTGTTAGCGCTAAACAATCTGCCATGTACACCACCAGTCAATCTTTGGCACTTCTGGCTGTACAGACATCCTTTATTCTACCTGTCTTTCTTCATCTGAGCTTCCATTGTTCAGAAACAGTGTTATCCCAATGTTTCAAATAATAAAACCGTGCCACTTATTAGAATCCCAAACACACACAAAAATTATTTTCAATCTTTGCTTTTGGTGTTATCAAATAGTGCTCTTACCCTACAAATAAGCTTGATATTTTGTTCTTAAACTGTCAGCTACCATCTTAAACAACATATGGTACTCATAAATATTCTGCAAAAAACTGCAGGAAAGAGAAAGACAGAGAGAAAGAGAAGAACAGTAAAATGCAATCATCTCCAATGATTTTAATGTAATCAATGGGTTTGCAGATGATTCATTAAAAAAAAAAGGTATGTTTAATCACTAAATGATATCTATTTGTAACAATGAGGTGTTTTTGTTGTCATCTTAAGGCCAGAGAGGTAGCTAAGACATTAAACACAAGGTGTGTAGCTATCTCGTTTCTTCTGACTTTCCTCCATTTTGAAAATACAAACATTTTCTAGGGATAATGAAGCTGCCAGTTAATGAGAAGACTTTATTTACCCATTTTTGTGCTACTGAGTAATATTAAAATAACAATGGCTGAAAACACTGTCAGTTGTATACCATTATAATCTTCATGAGTTTTGGTTCAATTATAACTACTAAACCATTGGGATGCTGAAATTGTAAGTTTGGCCAAACATGTTTGGTTTACAACTGTTAAACATGTTTTGCACACCCATATATCAACTGAAAGATTTCAAAGGACTAACTTTCACTGATAGGTAATTGGCTAAGGTGTACAAGAAAACACCTGAAGCCACAGCCATTGCCGCTATGAGGCTACTATACTGGGCATTTTCTTGAGGGTCAGTTTTACAGGGCTTACTGGAATCCAGCTAGCAGAGGCATTTTAGAGAAAAATCCATCTTACAGCAAGACTTTTCCAGGCAAAAATCTCTAACTGTAACTTAAAGTAAGAAATAAGTCACTATATAGTCCATAGTTCAATTTCCCTCCTTATGCCTTGCTTTGCTCTTCCTTTCCTATAGATCCATATTAGTTCATTTTGTGAACTCTACTGTCTTGTAGCACTTTTAAATCAAGGGGAATAAATTCAGGAAGAATGAAGGAGGGAAAAAGAAATCTCTGACCTGGTATTACCAAAAAAAAAAAAAAAAAAAACCCAAACAAAAATCCAAAGACGCTAAGATGAAAACAAAATAGTGCCATGGATTTACATATGGGGTTTTGATGGAAACTAGGGCTGGGTTTTAAGTCAAAACTCACCATCTCAAAACCACTTCTTTTCATCCGCCTGCAGGACTTGAGGTAAGTACGTATGCGTTTTCTGGCACGCTCTTGATACTCAGGGAATTGTCGCCTGCATGAGTCAATGATAGCCTGGATCTTTTCTTTGGGCTGCTTAGAGATTGGGACCATTCGGTCCAAGTTTTCATCTACAAACAGCCTGACAAACATCTGTTGGCAAGAGGGAGACAGAGGAGATGGGTTTGGAGGGCAGCTCTCTTCTCTTCCTAGCTTCCTGGCTTGATTACTGATAGGAAGACATTTTTTGTTTTCTATCCACTGAAGAGCTTTGTAACGGGAAGTCAGAAATATAAAGCAAACAGTTCTTTAAAGGGTTATTTGGGGTGGGGGTGGGTTGGGTTTAAAAAAATAGACAAGAAAAGAAAAGTCTATAGGATACAGAACTTGTGAGATAAACCAGAACAGACTGTGAAAATAGGCACTACTTAAGTTTCATTATTAACAATAAGCTGTGATTGCTAATCATTTTATTGAACTGACTCACATTTTTTTCTTTGTCTGAACAATTGCTTGTGTTTTCATGCATAATTATATACATTGAGAAAGCAATAGAGAACAGCTGACCACTAGAATGGTCTCCTGACAAAACTAGCTACAGCATCTTTCCATTCAATGAGTGAACATGCACATCCACACAGCCACACACATGGTCACACATGCACACATAGAGAACAAAGCTTTGTTTTCCTCACTGGTAATGATGGCACTGTGCCTCAAAATTCTAAATGAAACACAACAAATCTGTCGTCTGTTGGCAAGAGTTTAATGTGCATTAAAATAATAATTGAAATAAATCCCACAAATTAATGTGCCTTTAGTATTGTCAGACTTACCCAAAAACAACAATGCAAAAGGAATAGAAGAAGTAAACAAGGTGAGTGCTAGAGGGCTTACGTTAAAAGCTTTCAGTCGCTCAGCTTCTACCCCATCTGATTCATTAACCTTCTCAGGATCTTCTTGCTCGTCATGGTCATCCTCATCCTCATCTCCTCGATTCAGAGACAGATCTTCAGCACCTCTGCCTACACTCTCATTCTTGCCAGAGTCATAGCTTGAATAGCTATGTGCAGGGGACTGAAAACAGAGAAAAAGAATAAGCTTGTAAAAATTCTCAGCAAAAATAAGGTCTTACTTATCAAAAATGCTCGGTAAATATTTCAAGAATTCCATGAATTCTTTTTACACTTTGTTAACATAAGTGCTCTTAATCTTTCCAAGAGCAAACAATGCATAATTACATTAATTTCAGTGCTTTAAAAAAATGTGACCAACTGAAAACTGAGTAAATCTATTAACAAATTAATTACCTATAATGACTGCAGTTAACATGAAATATTCACCACACAGCCTTGTGTAAGTACTACCTACAGAAGTTTCTTATAAATACTAACTTTTTTGTATTAATCAAGATGTAAATAAGGGATAGCTGATTTGAACAAAACTCCAAAGAATTAAAATTTAAACATTTCAAGGCAAAGAGGATTCAAGTAGGAAACACTGTTATTCATCCAATGAATATTAAATATTATCCAGAGATGCAAAAATTTATTCAAAATAAGTAAATGATTATGTTCTAGTTTCATTTGCAAAACCCCAGAATGAATTAGAGATGTGTAGGTTTACATTTTGAATGCTCTCTGAGAATCATGTAGTATAACTATTTCTTCTTTGAAAATCAGCATTCAGAACTTTCCCCTGAGCAGAAATTCATTTTGTTGGATAAAACAGATGACCATTTCAATAAAGTATATCCACTTGTAGGACCAAAAAGTTTCCAATTACCGAAAGTTAAAACACTGCATTTTCCCTTGCAATATCAAGTTCTCAGTTGACTGTTCCCACTGCATGCACTTCAAACTGCAAACCATAAAAAAGGCATCAGTAACAGAAAGCCTTCCAGAACTCAACATTCTACAACATAAAACATAAAGATCAAAGCTTTTCCCCAGCCACACAAACATATCAGACAGTATCTCCACCAGAGTCATCAGATTCACATTTAGGTCAATCAGAGCAAAATTTTATTTCTATATCTTAATGCTGTAATATTTCACTATTTTTCTCTCTTGCTTCAAAGCATTCTGTAGTCTGAATCAGGTGCTACATGACAAATTTCACACACACACACTTTTTTTAGATGCCTCCTCCCTTAATGTCAGCAAAAGTCAGGAGCATAATCCTTCAAATCAAAATACATTTCAAATGGCATGCCATGAACCACATTCTGAGCTTTCTAAAATTATTTCAGAATATTTTGCCAGCCAAAGAATGAATCTGGACAGTGAGGTAGAAGGGAAAGAAAAACAAAACCATTCATCTGCAAGGTATATTTTTGGCCTTATATTCTTACTTCAGCTTATTTTTTTTTTTCCTTTTTCCGTCTTCATTTCCATCTTTGGTCCTCTGTACACCATCAGTTTTAGAGTCACCTGCCTTGCCTTTACAGCACTCATATTCCAAGCCTTCCTTTTATATATATCCTCCCAGACTATATTCTCACAGTACCTATCCCCTGGAGTTCAAGTTTTTAATCCCTAATGCGCCTAATATCAGAACTTGCAGTCTCTCTCATCCCCTTCCCTGAGTCTCTTCACTCTCTAGATCACTCTTCATTTCCTAGACCCTTACAGCAGATGTAGGAAGAGTGAGAAAACATGAGAACAAACCAGAAGAGCTGGCCTCAGGATAAAAACAGCTTCAACAAGTAGCAAGTTCAGCACCACCCCTTCTGGGGCAAGAAATTAGCAAGAGTTGAAGATGGCAGATGCAAGATGGCATGGCAAGATAAGGCTTGCAAGAGCAGCAAAAACAAAATTCCAGTTCTTGATACACTTGTAGCTTGTCTTGTGAAGGTGGTGAGTATCTACATTGCTGCCCAGTCAGGTCAGTTCAGGTTCCCTCCTGAAGGAGGTGATGGCTGTATTTTATCAGAGTGCCTAGCATGTGTAAGCAAAAGTGTTTAACCTGGACATTGGCTACCAGAAGGCCAACAGGTGCAGCCTGGTAGCCTGTAACAAAGGAAAGAGTGATTTCCCTTAAACCTAAAGAGATTATCAAAAGACTTTTTTTAAAAAAAGAAAGTTACAATGAACTAATTGCTATTTTTGTACAGCGCTATGCAGTAGAAGATCTGATCTATGCTGCAAGACTTGTTCTTCTGTAGTTCTTTGTTTCACCCATCACTACAGCTGTATAGCATGCAGAAGGCTTTGAGATTATCAAAAAGCCATTTCATGTGCTAGGCACCACACAAAGCATAGAAGCCGCTGCCCTAAAGAAACCTACTGACTGAAATCCTTGTTGTGCAGACACTTGATCTCACATGTGTCATTTCATCAGACTAAATCCAATTAGACTACTCATGTGCACAAAGTTAAACAGATGCAAAACTGATTTCAGTGTGTACATATGTTTCGGCTGGATGCCAAGATCATAAATTATGCACCAGCATTGAGATTTCCTTTTGTGAAGAAAACAAATTCAGGTCAAAATGGCTTAAGTATATCTCTCAAAAATGCAACAGTCGAGTTTTTTTTTGTTTTGTTTTGTTTTTTTTTGTTTTTTTTTTTTTTTGTTTTCGGTTCTGTTTTGTTTGGTTTGGTTTTTAAAGAAAGTATTGCATAGAGAGCCCTGTCCAACATCTTCTCTAAAGTTTTTATTTAAACAGCTTTAGCATCTTAAATGAACTGTGGGAAAAAAACAGTCTGAGAAAGTTGCATGGCAGGAATCCATATTTATTCACTATGAATTTGAATACTGTGTACAGAACCAGGAAAAAGAGGTGTTTTTCTCCTAGCTGTTTCATTAGCAAACTGAGGAAGAAAAAAATCTCACTTTGAGTTGCAAAAGCACAGTAAGAACACAATTTCTATCTTTCTGTATTTCTACGCAGATGAATACTGATTCAGAGAAGGAGGAGACATCTCTCAGTTGTGTTGACTCTGCACTTGTGCAAAAGCCAATAAGGATTTCCTTTTGCCGCCCTATTAAGCAGCTGCAGTGCTAAACAAGGGGTGGGAGAGCAGAGGACAACTCTGTTCATACATGATACCAAATTTTAGGTCTTGCACTGTCCTTTCAAAAGGCTGCTCCAACCTTTGTCAGACAGGAACATGCTCATTCAGATTCCTGCGCAGACCTTGAAAAATACATTTTATGGTCCTGCAGTAAACTAGACTGAAGAAGTGAACTTGGTTAAAATGTTTTGGTTTTGCTTGTTTGTTTATGGATTTGGTTTTTTCTAATATTTGCCAGCCTGCTTAAGACAAGAATCAGTTCTTGGTTTCAGTTCACCACCTGAAAGAAAAAAACTTTGTGCTGGCACAAAAGTATGAGCACAGAGGGGAGCATACACATCTCTGTTGATGGCAAAGAATTATTAAATCTTGGTGTAGTGGAAGCATTAGTAGATGTAGGATGTTTCACAGGTGAATGTTTTGTGCTTAAAAAGCAATGGTTGGAGAAAAAAGTGACAGCAATGAGAAATTATTCAGTGAGAACAAATTAAGCCGTGTCTAAAGAGAAAATTATTTCCTTCCCCAAATATTTAGATGATTATTGAGTGGTCTTAAAAATACTGAGATGCTGCTATTTATATTGTGACCACTTTGTCCTTATCCTTTCTTGAAGGTTCTGAGTTCATTATTTTAATTTCTTCCTTGCAATAATAAGTACTAGGCAGTACTGCTTTATCAAAATGAATGTAAAGGTTCATGCCTAATGACCTGTTTTTAGAAGGCTGTGACATAAAATACCAACCTCTTTCTAAGACATTGTAAGTCAGCAACAACATTCACCTGAAGTCAAATCATACAGCAGGAGATCTGGGAGGACATCACAGTATCATCTACTTTATCTTGCTGCACCAGAACAAGGTCAGATGGTCAATCCTGACCACTGTTTTTCCAGTTTTTATCTTAAGACTTCCAGTGACAGAGATGCCATGCATCCCCCAGACAACCTACACCAGTGTTTCACCTTCTTCAGAACTATTAAAATATTTCTAAGACCAACATCTGACTTTCATAAATGTATTAAGCCTATTTCTTTTCCATGTGTCTACCATAGATTGCAATGGAGGAAAGGTGTGGTTTTGGGAGAAGAGAGCATTCTCTTCCCTCTTTATGAGACTCTTTCCAACAACTGAGGACTGTTATCATGTGCCCTCCCCTCAATATTCTCTTCCCAATAAATTCATTTATGCTATGAAACCCATGTTTTTCATGGATATTTTCCATATGATTTGAAACCTTCTCAAAGAGCAACTGCCAAAACTCTAAAATGTATTCCATTTGATGCCTTTCCATGAAAGAAATATATTTCTTTATTTTTTGAATTTCTAGCATGCTTACAGCAGAAAAACCTTATCCTTTTATTTGTAGAAAAATACCCCAAAGATGCAAAAGAGAGCAGTGCAGAAACCCCAGAGTTGCCAACAGAAATCATGCTGTTACTTTATGAGGACTAAAGCAGAAGTAATCTGTAACATTTAAAAATACGAAGTCTACCACAGTGCTTCAGTGCCTGCTGGGGTTCAGCACTGGTGTATGGCCATTGGAAGGGTTTGCAGGATGATGCCACATGAACTCACTACAGGAAGCTTATCCCAGCAGAGACTCTTGCCTACCCTTGTGAGCATACAAAGATGGCACTTGATTACCCAACAAAAACTAATTCAGTGACAGAAAGCTAATTACTGAGGGTGACTATTTGTAATGACCAAAAACTGGAAAAACCATGTCTTTGTGACTTTAAAAATGCCAACATGGAACAAAAGACACCACCTTTTAAGGAAAAGATGCCTCTGATGGAAGTGTGGCAATTCTATTTTTTTAACAGAGCTTCATTTTTCACATTTGCATTGCATTTTACATTTACATTTAGTTAGAGACTTTTGCATCTATTTGAGTAGTGCGTAATTCAGTTGTTACACCAGACACTCATAAACCACAGAACTCCTGTGAGCAAGAGAGACTTGAACATTTGAAGAGCTGGCAAGACAGTAGCAGAGGTCTCCATGCTGCATGGAAAGAAAAGGGGTTGGGAGGCAGGCAGAGATGAAAACACTTTACTGG